TGGTGTGCCTCGGGGGAGACCCTGTCCCACTGGGAGATGCTGGGTTGGTGGGCTGTCCCAGGAGGCACCTTCTTGCCCCACCGACACTGTCCCCTCTTTTTTTTTTTTTTCTCCCCTGCAGGAATGAAGCCTTGGAGATGTAAGTAGCTGGGCCAGGTCCCTGTATGGGGTGGAGGGGCAGCTCCTGTGGCATGAGGGGGGATAGGGCACAGAGGGAGGGGGGCGAGGAGGGGAACAGGGCAAGTGCAGGCCAAAGAGGGTGCTGGTACCAAGGGAGGACTGGGAAGGTGGGACCTGTGCAGCATAGACTGTTCTGGGGTCCCCCCGTCATCTTCACACACCCCTCAGTTTGGGGGTGCTGCTGCTCCCAGCCTCCCCCAAGCTGATGGGATGTGGGGGTTCTCAGCACCCTCTTCCCTGTGGGGCTCTGCCACAGGGGTGGGATGACATTAGGCCTTCTCAGCACATCCTGGGCTGTCCCTTGCTCCCCTCTGTGGCTGGGGTGTGACACAAGTAACCTTGGTTTTGCAGGCCACCCACTTCCAACTTTTACAAAATCCCCCGGCCGTCCATGAGGCATTAGCCCCCATTGCCCACAGCACGGGTATGGAGGAGATGGACACTGAGAGGCTGCCCTGCCTGCTGCGCCTTCCCCCTGGGTGCTGGGGAGCAGGTTCGGACCCCCGTGGCTGAAACCCCCTCCCCAGTTACCAATATGCGATGATGCCCCGGTATGTGGGGGGCGTGGGGCTGCCCCTTGCACTGCCCCAGGTGGGAATGAATCCTTCCCGTCAGACCCCCTGGGCTCAGGGCAGCTTGCACTGTCCATGTCTCTGCTCTGCTGGCCACCAGGCCCCTTGCTCGAAAAATGTGACTATTTATTTTTGCAGGGAGCCTGACTTTTTCCAAGGCTGTGACTTTCTGGTGTCAAACAATAAATGCAGTGGTTCTGTGCACTGCAGGCACGCACCTGCGCTCTCCATGTCCAGCTGCGATGGCAGGGCACAGAGGTAGGGGCAGGGAGGGCTCCCCACTGCTGGCACAAGCTGGGGCTGTGCCTGGGATGGGAGAGCTCTTGCTGGGGTCCCCAAGAGTGCTCTGCCCACAGCCAGCTCTTGGAGCCCTGACCCAGCCCATGGGGTTGATGCAGGGCCACTGCTCAGCGTCACCAGGGCTGAGTGACGGTCCCCTCACCAGGCTGCCCTTTGTGCCTGTGGCTGAGTGGGTGCCAGGTCCTTCCCTGGGAAAGCCATGCCAAAAACCTGCTGTCGATGAGGCGGCCCCCTGCCCAGCGCACAGGCACTTCCCTGTGCCCTCCAGCAACCCTGCTATGTGTCACCTATGGGTTTCCAGTTAGTTTATGGGGTGTCTGCAGCCTGCACCTCCCTCCCTCTATTGGGTATGGTGGCATGGGGACCTTCAGTGTCCACCCCTGCATGTGTCACCCTGCTGCATGGCACAGATAGGCACAATGAGTGTTGCATGCACAGATTAGCCAAGGGCAACGTGGTCTGCACCTGTGGTGGGGCAAGTGAAGATGTTGGTTTGTGCTGTTCCTTGGTGCAAGCACAGGAGCTGGGTCAGGCACAGGAGACGTACGTGAGCAGCTTGACTCATTTCCTTCATTTCCAAGTCTCTCCGGAGCAAGCAACGAGGCCGAGCTGGCCCGCTTGCCCTCTGCTACGTGCATCTGCTTTATCGCTTTTTCCATTTGCCTTCAGATCTTCTAATCACTATTTTTTCCTTCAGGCGTTATCTGAAGCTGCACCGGCCTTACCTCCTGCTATCTCACCCCAGCACCCATCCTGACCGCAAAGAGAACCCCGTGCTTGCTATCACCCAGCTGAATCTGTCCTGTGTGGTGGCTCAGGCCCTGCTTCCCCCGCCCCCAGCGATGCCCACCCTTTCTGGTCCTTGGGGCAGGATTTCCCGGCACCCCTTGGAGAGCATTTAGCTCAGTTTTGTCATTCTCCCCCACCCTGAACCCTCAACTGCCCGAGCTGTGACTGTTTTGTGCTCGTCTAGAAGCCGCGTGTGGAGGTTTCCATCCCCTGGTGTCCCCACCGCACAGCATCCTCTGCTTCCTCTTCTCTTGCTGTGCCTCGGGGACGCCAGCCCACACAGGACTGCTGCTGGCTTCAGTTTCCGCTCACTGGCTTTCAGGCACTGCTCCTCTCTCCGCTCAGCCTCCAGCCCCGGGCTTTTCTTCTCCGCAGAGCTAGCGCTGGAAGGTGGGGAGCTTGACCATCCTCAGTCGCTGCGTCACTGTGGCCACCTGCATCCAAACCCTGACCTGGCAGTGAAAATGTCCCCCCAAATTACTGCACAGGCTTTGCCAAGGCGGGGAAGAGGTGAGGATGGCTCATTGCAAAATACCCACAGTGGCTGGCGCCGGCTCTCCTTTCAGGCCAGGCTCCCTCCGCTCACATGAGTGGCTGCTGCCAGAATCCACTTCCCTTGCGTGGGAAGGGAAACTTGCAGTGCCCCGTGGCCACAGCACAAGGCCCGCCATAAGGAAGATCTCATCGATAACCAGCCAGCCTCTAGAGAACCGTTGCAGCAGTTCCTCTTCCCCTTTGCCAGACTCTTTTCCACCACAGGGACTTTCTGCAGCCGAGCCCTTGTCTGGGGGAGGCCCTGCTGCATCTTTACAGCAGTTTGACAAACCACGATCCCTCCACAGCAGCTCTGCCACTGTGTGCCCAGGGCCTGTGTGCCACTCCTGCTGGGGCCAGCCTGCTGTTCCCTGTTGCTGGTTTTCCAGCCAGGAACAAAGGGACAAGTTGCAGCTCTTGAGAAAAAAATTCTCCCTTCCTCAACCCTACCTTGGGCCCAGCCACATCTCTCCCCACAAGATGCCCCCATGGCCTTTGGGGGTTGCTTGTGGCACCAAGCAGCTGCAGAGAGGAGGGGAGCGAAGCCCAGGTAGGTCTCCTTGTTCCCAGCAACGTGTGGGCTTGCCTTTGCTGAATGGTGCACTGCCTGGGATGGCCCTTCTGGGATGGTCACCCACCTGCTGGCGCAGAGTCCTGCCTCCACGGCTTCATAGTGGTAAAGAGCTGAGTGCTGCAGAGGGAATGGGCTGTCCAGGCACAGCTGGATCGCCAACCCCAGCATATACCAGCGGTGAGCCACGCTGGGCAGTACCATGGAGAGTTGAGCTTGGCTACTTTTCACAAGAAACAAAACTGCCCTCCTTGTGAGGGTCTGCATCCTCAAAACATCCACCACAGCCCCAGCATACTTTAAGAACCTTTATTTTTAAGGAGTTTTCCACACTTCACCCCACTCTTAAGAGGACTAATGCAGGTGACTCTCCCCCATCCCATCCCAGCCAGGCAAGGCAAGAGACAGCTCCTTCACACCCCACCCCACATGCTGGGGCAAGGCTACAGCTGGGATCTTTCTCCCGGAGGACGGGGCCAGGCTGTGAGCACCGGAGGGAGGCTGGAACCTGGATCTTCCTGCACAGCTGCTCTCAAGTTACACTGACTTTGCAAACAGAGGCACAATATGAGCCAGACAACCCTGACAAAGCCCCTTTGTGTGCAAAGGGCAAAGGTAGGGGAGATGGGAATGGGGGCCCGGGCGCCCTGCAGCATAATCTAAGCTTCCACAAAGGAAAGGGAGAGGCAGCCCCAGCCCCAAGCTCGTGCAGGCTCCTGCCAGCTTCTCAGCCCAGAAGAGAGTTTGGGTACCGTCTGGGATAGAGAGATAAGGGAATTAGGCTGCTCTCTTCAGCTAAGTAGCTGCAGTCAGTCACAGCTACAGGATTGATCCCAGAGGAATTGCAGTGAGACAGCACGCGGAGTGCTGCAGCTGCCAGCGCATGTGCTGGGACCCCAGCACCACACAGCTGCGCCACACTGGCATTTAGCATCCAACCCAGCCCCGAGCAGTGGGGCTGAGTGACCCCACTGCTAGAAACATGCCCAGTTTCTCACAGGCAGAGCTCGGAGGCAGCACCCAACCCACTGAGCAGAGAACAGGGGGGGAAAGACTCTGTGTGTCCGTGCTCACCACTCCACCACCACTCCTAAAGGATCAAGGAAGTAAAAGTGAAGTTATAAAGGAGCCAAGCAAACCGAAAACAAAGTGCTTTGGGCTGTAGTGCAGCCAGCGCTTTCACCTGCAAACACACCCAGCGCTTGCTCCTCCACTGGGGCACATGCAATTGCACTTGTTAGAAATAGCCAGAAAGCCTGCCCTGGCTTCAGATGAGATCCCCCAACCCTGGCCACCCAACAGACCCTGTGAGATGCTACTGCAAGGGAGGCTTCAGAAAGGACCAGGCTTCCATACTGCCAGGCAGGGCAGGATTTCCTGGGGTGGATGCAGCTTTCCCCTCCTTGTGCACCCAAGGCTTAGGATCCTGTTGTGCTTCCCCCCTTCATGCAGTGTCACCCTGTACCAGTGCCGAGGGGGAGGAAGTCCTTGCCATGGGTGGCTGAGGGGCATCATCGGACGCTGCTTTTGAGGGGATCTTGGACTCTCGGGGTGGGGTAGGAGGGGGGAAGATGGGGCTCTGCAAGGCATCTGAGTACATCTCGTCCTGGACGCAGGGACGCTGCACAACCCTTTGCAGTAGCGGCTTGAGCAAGCCTACAGTCAGCTGGTTCCCCTCGCTGGAGAAGGGCACTGGGTCCTCCTGGGAGCAAGGGAGGTGCTGCAGGACCACGGTGAGGATGTCTGAGGCGGTGAGCTCAGCAGGGCACAGTGGCCACAGCGTGTCCAGATAAGGGTCCAGCTCCCGATGCTGGGCAAACTCTGCCAGCAGCGTGGTGAATATTTCCTTGTTAAGCAAGGGGCTGAACTTGGAGAACTTCTCTGCCACCTCCACCACCCGCTGCCACCGCTTCAGGTGGATGAGAAGGTGCAGAGCTTGCAGCACAGCCTTAGGCCTCTTGCTGCAGAGCAGCAGTTCAAGCTCCATCTCATCATCTGCCTCACTGCGCTTGTTCTTCCTGGCCAGTACTCCCAGTGCTCTCTTGTACAGCGGCACACGGCCCTCTGGGCCCTCCTTGCTGCTGTATGCCCAAGAGATGCTAACGTACTGCTGGGTCAGCTCCACAAAACTGGGCAGCCACTTGGGTTTGAATCTCAGGAAGGAAGCGCAGATGAGCTCAAAGAGCGGGACCACCCCATTCTGACCCATCTCCTCCTGCTGCGGCCCTCCCAGGACCTTCTTCCACACCTCCGGGGTGGCCCTCGCTACCAAGAGGCCATCCCCGTTCTGCTGCAGCTGCAGGCAGCTCCTCGTGGCCTTCCAGGCAGCACTGGGGAAGGAGGCAAAGATAGAGTTCAGGTAGGCCAAGTTGTCCTTGTCTATGTCAGAGTGCAGAATGCGGCTGACCTCCTGTTCCACCAGTTCCTCGCAGTAGCTTTCCACCTCACTCTCTGGGGCATATACCACGCAGGTCTTGAGGAGCTCCAGGCTCCTATAGCTCTGCAGCTCCAGGCTCATTGTGCTCAACAGCTTGGTGTAAGTGTCTTGGAGGCCTCGGGCTGGTTTCTGCTTCTGGTGGAGGCTGTGCTGCAGGATGGCAGTGAGGGCCACAGGAGCCTGGAACACACCACCTTTCTTCAACTTTTCCACTGTCAGCTTGGAGCTGCTGAGGCTCCTCCTCTGGTAGTATCTGCAGGCCTCCTCAAACACCATCTCCACCAGGCACGGCTCAGGGCTGCTGCTGTCCTCAGGTTTGGAGAAGCTAAAGCTGTAGATGCCGGTCTGTGTGAGGAGCTGGATGCTGTCCTCCTCTCCCAGGGACTCCAGGAAATGCACCTCTTTCATGCTCAGGATTTTCTTTTCTATGAGTCTTCCACTATTCTGGTCGATGAGGTACAGGACCCCAGCCAGCATGCAGGCCAGGATGCTGCCAAAGGTCTTCAGCTGGACAGGACTTCCTTGGGCCAGGGGCCCCCCTTCCAGGTCGAAGATATGCCTCTGTGTCCCATCTGGCTCCACAATGTTCACAGCACCCTTCGTGCTCACCAGCAGAAGACCCCCACTGTTGGACACAGCGGAGGTGCGAATGTCCAGAGGTGCCAAACCTGAGAGAAGACCCACAGAGCCAAGCAGGAGCCTCCTGAAGTCTGACTCACTGCTGGAACGCAGCAGCTTGCTGTGGACAAAGCCTGCAGAGGGGGCTGTGATGGTGAGCGTTGCCTTCTCAGGGTGCCAAATGAGGAGAAATTTGGAAGTGGTGGCAAAGCTGGCAGTGGCAGGCACCAGGAAGATGTGCTGGGGGGAGGCCAGGACCTGGTACTCAGGGCTGTTGTGCAGGACTATCCTTACGGCGCCCAGCCGCACGCCTTGCTCCCCCACCTCCAGAGCCCGGGTGCAGACACAGAACCTGAAGGCACACTTGCTCACGTCCAGGTGGGCATCCAGGGGAGGCCTCTCCTCACACCACACCAGGCTGGCTCCCTGGCTGCACACGGAGACGATTCGTGCACGGACGCCCTGGCAGAGCTCCAGCGTCTGCAGCAGCTGCCAGCCCACGGACAC